CTCCTCCAGGGCTCTGGAAAACTTTAACACGAGTAACGTAATTGTTACTCTTTTGAATTATATATAGATTTCGACAAATTTTGCTGCGACAAAAGCGGCTTCACTCATGTGGGACAAACTGGTTACCGTAACTCATTTTGTCCAGCCATACATTTGGACCTGTTGTTAGTTTTTGGAGCAGTTTGAAGGTCGCGAGGTTAGCTTCACAGAGTAAGTTGTTATTTATCATCACATTTGTCTATCTTTTCTTGTTTAGTTAGAAGCATCCACCTTCCGACAATGAGCTATAACTTGTGTTTGTATTGAAATTTTAAAGCTCTTACACATACATAAGGTCTCAAAGTAAGGGTTAAATCTGGTATTTCTTCCCGTCATGTGTCCTAGTTTCCCAGACACCTCCCTCTCCACACCACTAGGATAACTTAACCGTCTCATTTTTACACTTTCTTGATTGTGTGTTAACCTGGCGGTTATGGTGCTTGCTTCGCACTCTGTGAGTCGCAGGTTCGAATCCCGTCACCCTTTCAGCTGTAGGAGCATTATAATGTGACGGTCAATCTCACTATTCGTTGATAAAGAGTAGCCAACGATTTGGCGATAGGTGGTATTGACTCTAGTCTATTATTTTAAATTAAGGACGGCTAGAGCAGATAACCCTCGAGTAGCTTTGCGCGAAAGTCAACAAATAAACAAACAGACCAGTTGATGAAATTCAACTACAGTTCATCAAAGATAAAAAGATGTTAAAACAACTTCGTACATCTGATAGGTAATGTTCATTATGTGTCAATGCAAAGCTTTAATTTGATGCACAAAAAACAAAAGGACAAAGAAAATAATTCCAAAGTTTTGAACCAATATGAATAAAATAAGATAAAACCAACATGACTAGAATAAACACGAATCACAAAGACAAATAAGCCAGTAAATATATCAAAGATGTGGAGAATATAAATATTTTCAAATGATAATATGAAATAAGTAAGTATGTTTCTTTCTATTTCTTTAAGTTTTATATATCGTTAATTTCTGGTCTAAACATATAAAAAAAACTGATCATTTTCTTTGTCCAGTTGACAAAACGTGAAAAATATTTTAGTTAATAAGGTTGCTTTTGTTAGTTTGTTTTAGAGCAAAGAAGCCACGTTTGTCTATCTGTAGTGTCCACCATGTGGGATCGAACCCCGGATTTTAGCATTATGAAATCCGTAAACTCACCGCTGTTCCATCGGAGGACCACGAAGACGTATTCTTTCTAATCTTAATTGATAATTTGTAAAACATATTTGTATCTTGTTGACTAGCGGTTATTAATTTCTTCTTAAGATAGATACCGATTCCTAAACTGTCTTAATGTCGGTATATCACTTCATCGGTCATCAACGTGGGGAAATAGATATGTTATTATTAAATAATGATAGTGAAAGCTTATTTTTTACCCCTGTAAAAGTGCTTATACGGCATATCATCTCGTTTCAGAAGTGACTTATTTCGATTAGTTAAGATATTTTTATCCATTTATTGGAGTTACCTTTGTACTAAATATGGTTTTCATTCGCCGTATAAAACAGATAATTCTGTTCTAACCACTGTTTTACTAAATATAACACCATATAAGCAGTTAGAAACTATCATTCCCACAATTCCAGACTCTCCATCATTTTTGTTATCCACCTGATAGAACCCAAACAAACTTTTAATATAATTCGTTCACATAAATACTATTACAGCATTGTGTAACATAGTGTGAAACATTAGCCTTTCTTTAGGTTCTATAAGTATAATGTTGCTTAACATGTTATATACAACATTCCTGTATTTACACTTCTGTTAACATGTTATATACAATATTATTGTATTTACACTTCTGTTAACATGTTATATACAATATTCTTGTATTTATACTTCTGTTAACATGTTATATACAACATTCCTATATTTACACTTCTGTTAACATATTATATACAGCATACTGTATATAGATGGCTGGAGCTACACACAACATACTGTATGTAGTTGGCTGGAGCTACACACAACATACTGTGTATAGATGGCTGGAACTACACACAACATACTGTATATAGATGGCTGGAGCTACACACAACATACTGTATATAGATGGCTGGAGCTACACACAACATACTGTATATTTTTTTACAATCATGTTGTTGATAGAACGTCGACCGTGATTTAACGAATTACATGTTTAACATTAAATCTATTTTATATCATTTATCATCTTCAACAGTTGCGATTGCGTTTAGTTGACATTTTTTAAAGTAGTACCTTTACGCTTGCGTTTAGTTTACGTTTCTTAAAGTAGTACCTTTACGCTTACGTTTAGTTTACGTTTCTTAAAGTAGTACCTTTACGCTTGCGTTTAGTTTACGTTTCTTAAAGTAGTACCTTTACGCTTGCGTTTAGTTTACGTTTCTTAAAGTAGTACCTTTACGCTTACGTTTAGTTTACGTTTCTTAAAGTAGTACCTTTACGCTTGCGTTTAGTTTACGTTTCTTAAAGTAGTACCTTTACGATTGCGTTTAGTTTACATTTTTTAAAGTAGTACCTTTACGCTTGCGTTTAGTTTACGTTACTTAAAATCGTACTGTATTTTATAAACTGTAGCAGGTTTCATCGATGTTAACAGTGTTTAAAAGATCACATGTCTCACGCATGACGTCGATTCTTCATAATTGAGATATATAAAAAACGTGGTACATTATTTTATATACATTGTTTAATGTCAAATCAACACAGTTTAAAATATTTATTTCTCACGTATTACCTTAGTTCTTAATACTTTATACATATAAAAATACACTTGAATGGTATGTATTAATGTACACTTTAATTGTATATGTATCGACGTCTTTGACGTGTCTACAACACAGAAACACGTAAGAATGAATGCATTACTTCATATGGTACCTTGTTTTACAGGCTGCGTCATGTCTCATGTGGTACCTTGTTTTACAGGCTGTGCCATGTCTCCTGTGGTACCTTGTTCTACAGACTGCGTCATGTCTCATGTGATACCTTGTTCTACAAGCTGCGTCATGTCTCATGTGGTACATTGTTTTACAGGCTGCGCCATGTCTCCTGTGGTACCTTGTTTTACAGGCTGCGTCATGTCTCATGTGGTACCCTGTTTTACAGGCTGCGTCATGTCTCATGTGGTACTTTGTTTTACAGGATGCGTCATGTCTCATATGGTACCATATGTTACAGGCTGCGTCATGTTTCATGTGGTACCGTGTTTTACAGGCTGCGTCATGTCTCATGTGGTACTTTGTTTTACAGGCTACGTCATGTCTCATGTGGTACCTTGTTTTACAGGCTGTGCCATGTCTCATGTGGTACCTTGTTTTACAGGCTGCGT